TGTTGTAATATGCTCCTGGGGCATTATAACCTTGACACTTTTGTCTATTTTGGGATTTCTCAATATTTTGGGTCAGCGTCTGGTTTTACGCTTATGCTTTTGACATCTACGGTGATGACCCTCATTATCCCATTCTGGCGGGTAGTACACAGTCGTACCAAGAGAAATTAATACCAACTATACCAGGTACCGGGAAGTGAATGGTGGAATAAACGGCTACCTGTCCCTAGCTGACTATCCAGAGAGACCGATAATTTACTGGTATTCCTTTTCCTTGGGTCTTTTTCCAATACTTGGTTGGCATTACCTTTTCGAGAGGTACTTTAAAAGAAAGCGCCTTGAGAAGATGGGGGAAAGACGAGCCAGTTATCCTGCTTTTTCATTAGACCTGGGAAGATTTGCAGTCCCCTATAAAACTATACAATGGCTAATCTATTACCCAATGTAGTAAGATAATATATTTTGGTGTTAGTTTTTATATATATATCACTCTCAACCTTACTCTTTCTCTCTTAAATCTATCAGCTGTCACCAAGACAGTTGGCTGAGTGCCAAGGAACCACAGTGCTATTAACAGCTGCTTTTCCGGAGAAAGTGATGGTCTTCCTCGGAGAGGTTCCTCGTAAGTTAGTCTTTCTCCAATTTTTTCGAGGATGACTTCCACGGAAGATTTTTTAAGTCTAAACATTCTTCTAAATGTAATATCATCGTACTTACAACATCAACTTACAAGATTTGATGATCCTAGTCCTTATAGTAAGCAAAATATACACGTTTTCATTAATTGTAAATTAAGGTCAACTTTGAAGTGACCTTGAGACCACGCCCTTTGCTTCAGGGTAATTCCCCCTGCAACTTTTAATCTTCGACATATCTTGATCCTTGTGTGTAAGTTTGGTGAAAATCTACCTGTTGGTTATGGAGAAGAAGATTTTTTAGCAACCAGTACTTTTGGTTTTGTTTTCCTGATTATCTCCCCTTGTTTACGGGTCCCAGCCCTTATTTTAGTATAAATGGTAGCCCTTGGGTCAAGGATACCCTGTGACAAATTTGGTACTGATTGGCCAAGGGGTTCTTGAGTTATGGCCCATATTCTACAAAAATTACGCGCACCGAACAAATAGCCATAGTATTAGCTCTTTGAGCCTTTGGCTCAGAGGAGCTAATACTAGTAATTGTAATTATTTGATGGGCGTATCATACCGTGGCGTGGCGCCTTTTTTGAAATCTTTATAAAACATATAAATCTTAAGAAAAATTATTATCTGATTATTCGTTACAGATCACCGTCACCAGTTTCCCCAACAGTTTTATCTTAAAGGTGCGAATGTTTAAACGATTTAAAAATTCTTCTTCATTTTTACAATTATTATTCTTTAAATGTGTAATTTTTATCTTTCTTTTCTTTAGTTCAAGCATATTTTCTCATGACGAGGAACTTGAGAGTCAACTTGATTTAACGTCAAGAAAAAATAATCAGCTGCATACACTCAAACAGTTAGAAGAAAGACTAATTAGTGACTTGGATAAAAAAATCGGAAAGTGTTCCCTAATTCATAATCTTCAAACTGTGGATGGTTAAGTACAAAACGTACTGTAGACATTGCAGTGTTACAAAGAAATATAAATATTTTAATGAAACAATTGGAATACCAGTGAATTTTGAATCAGTGATTTGCAGTGTATATATTCATTTTTGCAATAACGTTTTCTTTTATATTTGGATTTTATACATTTCATGCCCATTAAAGGTAAATGTCGCGTTTCCAATGGAAGACCTTTTTGTTTTCGTTCGGTTTCATTATCCCTATCATTTTTCTATATTCTTGCCGATTTTGTACACGCGAGTCTATGAATGTCCACGAAGCTTTCAGGTCAAGTAGATATTGATCTGAAACTTGTTAGAAATTTTTTATCCTGGGATCGTCATTCCGGTCGTGAGATATGGACAATTTTCCGATTTTCAGAGGGTCTTCTTGTCCGGGTAACTCCTCCTAAATGACTTGAGATATGGAGTTGAAATTTTTAGTATAGATAGATGTATTGTAAATAGTAATACGGTATTGGACAGTCACTTTACAGTCAATGATGTGAGAGGTCACACCCATGTCAATATAAAGGTCAGTCACTGACGTCACAGGTCAATAAAGAGGTCACAGTCACGGACAAGTAAGTAATCGTGTTAAATATTTACATGTGCAAATGTTTTCCCTTATATAACACTATTTGAGTAATGCGTTTTTACATCTCAATAAAACAAGTTGGTCATGTGACCATAAATTGATTGTTTAGTCGTAATCGATCGACGTTATAAACACATTCCGTTGAGTTTTGAAAAATAACGTTATGGGTTTCAAACTTTAGTTAAGTACGTTATTATTTGTAATAAATAGTCTCAAATGTAAATATAAGTAATAAGGTATCATTTTTTGAGTTTTATTGGGCTGTAAGAAGGATATGGAAATAACGAACAGTATTCAATCTCAACGTCCATTAAACAAATATACAAAATAAGAGCAGAGCAAACACGGACCTCCGAAACATCAGAGGTGGGATCAGGTGCCATGGAGGCAACTTGTAAGTAACTTTTCATGTTTACCCCAATACCTTTCACTTTGAATTCCATTTTAAAAGACTCCAATCAATTTACGGTTTAAGGGAAATTTATTTTCTACAATATGGTTATATATGTATTAAAAATATATAATCTTCAAAATCACAAAAACTAATAACATTTTTTTTGTTTTTTATACAATATACAACATGTACCACCCACTGATTATTGTCTTTGCTATAACTGCATGTATAACAATATATTTACAAGTACATAAGTTATTTCAATTCATATGAATGCATTGTCACTTTTTCTTATATAATCTTTTAAGTAAGTTAAGAGCATTGGACTTTGTAGTAAGTCTACTCTCATGTTGTCCACCAATTCATTTAACACTCCCAGTTCCTCCATGAGATGCATCATCCATGCAAGTTTGGAACAGGGAGGGCTTATAGTTCCTTGGGAATAGACCTGCTCCAAAAACTTTAACCTGGTCACTCATCTGGAAAATGTAGGTCAGATCCAGCATCCAAAGCAAGTCTGGTAGTGTACATCCGTAGATGCATCATCCATGCAAGTTTGGTCCGGGTAGGTCTTATAACTCCTTGGGAATGGACCTGCTCCAAAAACTTTAACCTGCTTCAAAAACTTTAACCTGGGCACTCATCTAGAAAATGTAGGTCACATCCAGCATCCGAAGCAAGTCTGGTAGTGTACATCCCTAGATGTATCATCCATGCAAGTTTGGTTCAGGTAGGGCTTATAGTTACTTGGGAATGGACTTGCTCCTAAAACTTTTAACCTGGGACGCCGACGCTAACGCCGACACCGACGCCGGGGGTATAGCATAAGCTCATCTCGACTTCGTCGAGGTGAGCTAAAAAGACACCTTTACCATCAAAACACTTACTACTCAAAATTTGGGTAAAGTTTGTAATATTTTATATTTTATGCGTTTTAAAAAACAAGTTGTTAAGAGTTGGATCCTCACTAGCTGAGCGAGCATATTACAAATAAATACAGCCAATTTAGTCCATAAGAATCTGGTGGAGAATTCGTTGATTCCGGACTTATGGATCTAGGAGTGGTAGACAAACCAAGTTTCAGGGTATTGTACCAACGGCTTCCACCACCCCAACCGCACCTCCATCCTTGAGGATGCAAGGCATGATGAGGAGACTCCTACTACAGGATACATCAAGATCTAGCGGTACAGTTCCGTCTTCTTCTTTCTCTTCTCCGCCGCTATCTTCAGTTAGTTCTGCTCCTCTCACATATGTCTCTTCATCTTCGCGGCCTCCTCCATCATTTTCCTCATCCTCACAACCGATTTCATCGATGGGACAGACTGTGGCGCCACCAATACCAAATCACACGACGCCCAACGTAATTAAACTTACGCCGAATAGAGCCAGCGAGCCAGTGGTGGACTATGTTCATGTCTATAATTGCTTAGTTTGGCAGAGGCAGCCGCTCTCTCGGCTTTTCCTTTCTATTTAGAGGGTGTGCCGAAACAATGGTATTTTCAATTACCAGAGAGTATGAAATGCCCTCTGAGTAGTTTGAAAGCTGCTTTTCGTGAACGTTTTCAAACGTCAAAAACAAATTTCGATATTTACATATTAAAATATAAGACAATATTTGGAAGAATCAATAGAAGACTATTTGGCTCGATTGACGCGTTTAACCACTGAATGCGATAAACCCATTTGGGAATGACTATTCAGGGGTTAAAACCGGCCACTCGATCAACAGTCATGCCGCAAAGCCCAGATACACTACAAAAACTCCGTAAAATTGCATTGGTGGTCGAGCAAACTGTCAAATTTTCAGAACCCGCAAATGTGTCATTTGTGGCTTCTATTCAAGTGTTAGAAGACAGATTGATCACGAAATTAAGTGCACAATTAGAAGCAACATCAGCAGTCATTACGCAAAATCACAATACTTTTCAAAAGTATGCAAACATTCTGAAAAATCAACAATGCCAGTGTTGTGGAGGCAACGGCTTGACTCCACATAAATGTCCCGCATTGGGCAAAATCTGTTATAACTACAATAAAGCTGTCCATTTAGCAAGTGTTTGTCGTTCAGCGAGGCGCGTTGCTTTACAATCCCGGAATACAATTGACATTGGATTGGGCTTCGTAAAACTAAGTCATTGGTAGACATGGGGTCACAAATCACTCTTGCATATCATCCCTCATTGTTCTCCCCCTTCTCTCGGACAACAACCCATTCTTTACCCCCCCCCCTCCTCCTCGATATGTCGGCTATACTACTAGCTAAAGCCATTGAACTAAGCATGTTTCCTGCATTGGCAAGCTGTAGGTACAATGTACCCCACTGAAGGATTTGAGTATGGAACAGCAAGAAGTGTTAAGGCAGCACCAACAGCGGCTTTTGGCGAATACACAGTAGTATGACTATTAATAAATCCGTCACTATGACAGGGAAAGTCATGGCAAGAATTGTCGATAATCATTGCCACCTCGACCACATCTTGCGCAGTAACAACTTCAAGACCGACCTGGCAGAGCAATACCTGATAAACTTGGTAACACATCAGCATTATGTAGCCCTTGGTGAGATTGACATTGATCTTACCACATATTTCAGATGCAACCCCTGTGTGAGGCCAGAGGCATGTAAGGAGCGTTTGTTGCAGACCCAGCAGGACGTTCTAGCAGATGACATTAATTTGACTAGATATGTTGGTAAGCCAGTCATTCTGAACTGCAGGGATGATGGATCCAGTGAGGCAGCCAAACGCGCCTTTGCCATGATCCGCATGATGAACATGACACACCATGCTTTTCATCGTTACTGCTTCAGGGGTTCTGTGGAGGAGCTACGCCAGTCGGAGATGAGTTGCCTGCAGTGAAATCTGGTTTCACGACGAAGTCAGCTCAGGACCCAAACCTGGGAGCCAGGATCCCAGTTGAGCGCTTGTTGTTGTAGACAGAGGCTCCATATTTATTGCGAGTTCCTGGATGCAAGATTAACCATTTACAAACATTTGTTTGTGAATGAAATTTTATGAACGTTAAAGATGAAAATGTGTGCTAGTTGGATTAATTTTAAAATATCCTATGTCCAATTCTTGTTCATGACGTCCCATACAGCTACGTCAAATTATTGCAACGTATACGTAAACTATGCTACTTTTACAACTATAAAAAACATAAATAGAGCTCTGTACAGGAATAACTTAGAGGTATATTATTTATTTTGACGCAGGGCCAAATTTTGTAACAAGTGAACCAGGTCCTTTATGAATCTTAAAAAGACTTTCAGGAAATGTAAATAATTACCTATTTCGTTTTTGATCAACAAACACCTTTTAGAAATAAAAATCATAGGTATCCAGTCTTGTGAAGAAATATAATTTCAATACATATTGGGAACTTCAGTTTCTTCTATTTACTTCGATCGTTCAACAATGCATGATGTATAAAGACTTTTTATCAATGTATAACACCACAAATCTCTGCTGATTTCATATCATGTAGATTAAGATTGATATTTTAAATGAGATTTAAAATATGCTGAATATTTCTTTCAGTACGTAATTTTTAAACACTTTTATGGGATAAATATTTCAACTTTTTAAAATACCTTTCTGGGATCTTTCAAGAACTTTGAAGCACATTGGGAAGTATAAAATTGTTCCATGAAAGATTGGGACGTTTTGAATTTATTTCTAAAATTAAAAGTTATCCTTCCTGGCTGAGGATCGGAGTAACCTAAACAGTCTTTTCATCGACCTTTTACACTACTGGAAACCCGACCCAAACAGAGATTTTGTACCTACTACAACCAAAGGAGTCAAGCTTTATCAGCGAAAACAGAAAAAATCAAAAAAATATCGGCATTTTTCGTGATTTCATTCCGCAGTTGAAATATAAAGAAGTTGTTGAGTACATATTCTTCCCGCTGAGCTCCGATTTACATTCTCTAGCGAGACTTCTGAAGAATCCCAGCGGCAGTTACTAAATATATATTAAAGCGAGAAGTCTTCCATTCACACAGTAGCCTTACGGCCACTATGGAACAAATTATCGAACAACATAGAAGACAGGTGCTGCAAAGTTACAATTTAAGTTTTGCATTGGAAGTTTTGTTCTAACACTGAGGTCATTAAAGAGGTGTTCCGTTGATCACCAAAGTTTAGTTCAATATTCTAGTGTTAAATGGGATTTAAATTATCACACATCATTATGGAAGTAGTATAACCTAGAGATCAGGGACGGGGTCAATTACATAGGAAAGTAATTAATTAAATTACAACTACTTTCCCAAAACCTTCAATTAAATTACCATTACCATTACTTGGATTTTGAAATGTAATTAATTAAATTACAATTACTTTGCAAATGTAATTAACTAAATTACAAATTACATTCAAGAATACACGTATAAAAGTAAATAGTCGTGTATATTCCTTTACATTTATAACAGATTATTTTACAACATTTTTTACAATAATATTATTAAAAGCTTCATAAATTTTTCAAATACCGTGTCCCTTAACCTAATATATCTTAGATTTATTTGAAGATTTTCGTGCCATGCTGAAGATTCTTTCCACTTTGGTATTTGTAAGAAAATGCATACATGTAGATACTGACTATTAAAAAGTTTACAGATGGTTTTACTTTAATTTATGTGTTTAAATTTTGGAATCATTTTTAAGCTTTCCCATAAACAAGTGATAAATTTATGCTAAATGTACTTTTGACGCCTTATTTGCCTTTATATTTCCTTATTTCAGCATCATAGCTTTACCTCAAAATGTGGGTATTTGACTTAATATTCTATGCCAAACTACAATTTAAAGTCAAGGAGTATGTATACAAACGCCAACAGATAAAGTCAAAAGTGTGAAAAATGTTTATTTAGGAATTAAGTCTATGACCCAAAGACACTAATTAGCACCTGTTAATAACTTCCAACACAAGCTGAAGATATGGGCAACAAAGGGATTCGAAACCATTGGACTTCTTATTTTCATATGAATTAATTAATATAAAAAATCAAAATATGAATTTTATTTGTAAACTTTACAAAGATTAATTTGATTTAAAAGTTGTTTTTTGACATTGGCTGGGATTTGAAACCTTTGCATCAATGATGACCTATGGCTGAAAACCAAGTTATAAATCCATCCCTCACTAGCCAAGCGAGAGCCCAGCTCACACCAAAAACAAAATACATACATTTATTCTATAACAATCTTGTGGAGAATTCTTTCGCTGATCCCGAGAATGGACTAACGCAGTGGAAGGCAAATGAATTTTCAAGGAATGCGACCTATAGGAGGAGCATCAGCCCCAACAACAACCACTGAAGTAACTCCAACAGGACCGACCAATGTAACACAGTCACCTCCATCATTATATAATATTACACTATCTATATTTGATTAAGAAAAGTACAAATTATAAAGTATAAATTATTTTTTATTTTGCAATGATTAATTTAATAATAAAGTGAAATTATTATGAGGGAAATCAAGAACATAAGACCTTGTTAAGTGACCTTGGTTACTCGTAAATAATTTGATTATTATCGATGGTCAAGTTAGAGTGCGGACCAACCACAAACCTTGTTGCAATGCAGTAATTTATATTGCAGCTCATTTAATTCTATTAATGTGTATTTACGAGTATTTGTTAGACTTTCAGACTCCTTCTTTTGATACATCAGAGAGTTTATCTGGTGGCATTTTGTCAACTGTATTAATTACTGGTGGTCACTCCGTATAAGTATCTGGAGGCTACTACACCTGACGGTCACCATGACAGTTTATGGTCACCGAGGAACTAAAGGAGGACAGAGGGAGGAGCCACTGGAGGTCAAGGAGGTCAAAAAGACGTACTATGATGGAGCGTCCCTGGATACGGGATTCACGCGACCAATGCGAGATTCACTAATTCACCAATAAGACAGTGCTTTACTAAATGAACAAGTTCACTAACATTAGTATAAATGTTACTACCTGGCGATTTTTGTGTTGTTCCCCGACACTCTCCAGCTTACAAACTTTTCTGGGAAACCCAACTTACGTTTCGACCGCACTTTAAATTGGACTTTATCACTCGATTGGCTTGGATGTTTACTAACTTCATTTATTCTATGGACATGATAAAAATGGACTGAGTTTATTTATTGTTTAAGAACTTTGAGAATTTTTTTTATTTTTTTTACTTATTAAATGTTACGATTCTATTCATTTTAAAACACAACGCGAAGTACTCTTCTATTGTTTCACTTATGTAATGAATTTAATTAAACCTGTTTATTAACTCTTGTGATTATTTCATAATAGTTACAATTGTCTTACACTACTCTGCGGGACCTGGGCAGGGTCAGACGTATCCTGGGTTCTATAACAAGACCGCAATCTTCACAACCACCGGATCATCCGGCAATTACAAGTAATTATAGTACTACATCTTCTTCAATAACGCCATCTTCCTCAATTACATCATCTCCCACTGTTCATGTTACATCTTCTTTACCTGCATACACATTATCTCATCCTGCGACGCCACAGGAGCATAGACATGCTCCGAATGTCATTAAACTTTCTTCATACCATCAGGCTGAACCGGCCAGCCAGTGGTGGTCACTGTTTTTGGCCATGGTGTCATATTTTAATATGTCTGAATCGGCGGCGTTGTCGGCTTTCCCGTTTTATCTGGGCTGACATTCCCAGACAATGGTATTTTGAACTTAGTCCCTCGGTAAAAACCTCTTTGGAAAGTTTGAAAACAACTTTCTTTAAAAGATTCCAAAAACAAAAATAAACCTTAGATATTAATTTATTGAACTTAAAACAATACAAAGAAGAAACGGTCGATGACTACATGACCCGTGTAACGCGTCTAACCACTGAATACGAGCTCAAAGATACCATCAATAAGCTCTAGCCAGATGTTACTGTGAATACACAGTAAGTCGATCCCTCTCGTTAGAGCCGAGGATCGTGAATATTTGACTGGATTTTTCGTGCAAAGCTTATAAACAATTTGTAAGTCGATCACTCTTTCGTGGAGCCAAGAATCGTGAATTGTGGACATTTATATCTTTTTTAAATATACAGACGTGAAGGTGTGATTTTTATCTACATTAGAAACTAGTATTGCTACTGGCTACTCCAGACACTTTGTATGACCTACCGGCCCATCTCCAGGCAATGACTCTGCAGATACACATAAACAATTTGTACAAAGCGGAGCACAGGAGGAAGATGAAGCATGTGAGAAGAAACCTTCATCTTTTGGGGCAGTTCACGGCAACCGTGAGGAGACGGGGCTATGCCACGGATGGACCGACTCTTCCTCCCAGTTTAGGCGGGAATAAGTAGATTATATAGAAGATTATAGGTACGAGCTAACTCCAGAACAGATCATTTCGAGGGTTCTCGGAAAAAGGTACAGGCACTATAATATGAATATGAGGACTTATGCCCTAGTCACCTTCTTGAACTTTGGGATCTCCCAACACTTTCGGGCCAGCGTCAGGTTCTACGCTCGTGCCTTTGATATCGACGAGGATGACCCTCATTACCCCATTCTTGCTGGTACTTCACAGTCGTACCAGGAAATACTCAATACCGACTGTACCAGATACCATGAAGTAAACGGAGGGATAAGCGTCTACCTGTCTCTAGCTAATAATCCGGAGAGGTCTATAACGTATGGGTACTCTCTTTAACTAAGTCCTTCTCCTATACTTGGGGGACAAGATATTTTTGAAAGGTTCTTTGGGAGAAAGCGCCTTGAGAAGCTGAGAAATAACAGAGCTGTATACCCTGATTTTTCCTTGGACTTAGGAAGATTCTCTGACCCATTTAAAACTTTGATATAGCTAATTGAT